GCTTAGGGACAAGCAAAGGTTTGGCTTGGGGGAGTTTGATGTGTCTATTTTATATATTATTTTACCCCCGTCCCTTGGTCGTAATTAGTAGTGTTTTTGGCTCTTTAGAGCCACTTTTATTACTAATTGGTGTTTTATAGTGTTTTCGTAGATTTGGTTGACTTTTGTAGGGATTTATGCTTTTGGAGTATTTTCCCGAGATATTTTGGAGCAATCACGAACATTGGAGAAGCACGACCAGATTCTATAGCCCAGGGCCGGTTAGAGCCATCGAACCGGTGATTAAGGGCTCGGTATAGGTGATACCGGGGCATTTGGACCGAGTATTCAAGACTGGAAGAGGAAACCCAGATTGGCCCAAAGAATTGGATCCCAATCGTAGTCCAAATAGTGGCCCAAGAGAGCCGCCTGGCCAAAGACGATTAACGTCGTTTTAGTTTGATTTAGTTTAGGATTTGTATGGAGTATAAATACTCCTCCATAATACGATTTTATCTCTCTCTCTTCTTCCTTTTACTCTTTCTTTTACTCCCTTAATTGTTTTCTTAGATTCTCTCCCTCTTAAAACCTTTACACTTAATCCATTCTTAATTCCAGATTTGTTTGGTAACTATTTCTTTTCTCTTTATCTTAGTTATTTATTCTATTCCTTTAATTATGTATTACTTTATTGCTTTGATTAATTTAGTTTCTATTATGTGTGAGTAGTATTATTTCTAGGGTTTATGGGGATCCTTAAATAATATGAAGGTGTAGGGAATAAATTTCAAGCTTTAAATCCCACTAGCTTGAACCCCACTGTGAACATACACTAAAGTACGGTGGCGTCCAAAAGGGAAGAAGATAGAGCAAAAGAGTCGCCAACAAGTTTTCTTAGGAACTTGTAAACCGTTCACAGGGTGAAGGTTACACCCCTTAACGATCCAAGAGATCGTCAAATCCATAAGGTCTAGAACCAAATAAGGGTTCGGGGATGAAGGTACAAATCCAACCTAAAAGAGATTGAACCTGCCCTAATAATAGGTCTCTACTTTATTCTGATCGTATTCATGTGCGCTTTCTAACTAACATACAATCAATAGGTTTAACCCTAAACCTGTTTATCTATGTTGGTTGAATTAAATGCACAAATAAATCTATTATTGGCGATCACTTGAAATTATAATCAAATTAACCCTAACAAGATTATCAATTATCTTATTAAGCGTGATTATAAGTACCAATTCCCTTTAAACATGCATAAAGGTGTGATCAAGCAATAAATATCATCAAGCAACATAATAAAAATAATCAACATCATGATAAATAATGAATAATAATCATCATGAATTATAACAATTATAATCATAATCATGTTCATGTTAATATTAAAGCATAATAATAATAGCAAGATCCTAGGCATGATACTAACAAGATTAATAACAAACCCTAGCATGTCACTAAACAATAAAAATCAAATCTTTAACCCTAACATGATACTAACAATCATAAATATTAGGAAGAACATAGGAAGCATCGTAGGAATCATATTTGATATTAAAATTACCCTAGACATGATACTAGGAATATCATAATAACAATGTAAACATGATTTCTACATCATAATATCAATTAAAACCATTAAAGTACTTACTTTGATGCCTCGTACCTCTTTCTAATAACAAAATACACACGTTAGTAACTTCAAGGAAAATAATAAACAAAACAATTAAATTAAATAATTGAAAGAGAGATTTGGGACAAAACCCTCAGAAATTAAACCTTTCACGTCTAGGGCGAAGGCAACTTCGAATATGGCTAGGTGTTTCTAGATCTTGAATGCGGAATTTTGTATTTGAGAAAGCAAAGGTTAGAAAGAGAGAAAGAGAGATGAATGAATTAAGAGAGAATTAGAGAATTAATGATTGCGAATGAAAACTGATTGTTGATGAGAATTCGTGAGAATTGGTGATGAATGATTCCCGAAAACGGAGTTTTGAATACGATATTTATAGAGAAAATCAGCCAAAAAGATAAATTAAACAAAACAGAGTCTGACGCACAAAAAACAGAGCTGGCGCTAGGCGCCAAGGCCTGGGGTCAGGCGCCAAGCCTAATTTTAACGCGTTTTCGAAAATCCGATAAGTTTGCCGTACTGGAGGATAAAATCATATAATTTCCTCGAAAATGCTATTTGATTTTGATTAAAACTCTGAAAAGTCAACAAAAGTCAATTTATCAATGCTAATTGAATTAGGAATGAAAAGAACCTTCTAGAAGAATCTAGAAGACTAAAACCATTCCTAATTGCATTAGGAATGATAAATCATATTAGGCCCTCCCCTAGATCATTGGGCCGTACATAAAGCTCAAACCGGGCCTAGTTTAGTAAATTGGCCATAACCTCCTCAATATTCATCGGAATTGGGCTCATAATATATCGTTGGAAAGGTCTTTGCAAGCCCCATCCAACTACACTACTATTGGACCCATATCATGGACCAAACAAAATGGATTGGCTGTTTTCTTAAAATAAGTTTTCAAAAACAGAGAGAAGAGAAAAGAAAATAAAAAACTTTCCGCAACACTAGACTTTCCACACTTTCACTTCATTCGATTATGATTCGACGTGAAAGGTACTCATCACCGGGTTTGGTTTTGGGGAGACACATTTGGGTGTCTACAAAAGGGGTAATTTATTGTTGTTGATTGTCAATGCTAGATTAATTTCCTATTGATTGATTTAATGCTCTGTGACTAGATTAGTCCTGATCTTTTATGCATGAGTTTGACAATATTGATTCGAGATTCGACAGATGAGAATTGATGTTTAGGTCTAGTTTCTATAGGCAGATTAATTTATATGTGGTTAAGTCGAGATTCGAGAGATGAGATTTAATACCGGTAGATTAATTCTGTGATTGTAATACGTAGCGAAAGCCCTTTACAATCTGGTTAATTGATGCATTGATGATTGACTATTTTTGGTTTTTGATATTGCATGATAATTTCTTATTGAATTGTTTTAACGCTTTACAATTATGGCTTGTAAAAGTATAGCAATATTGAATTGATGAATCGAGCAGATGTTAATTTGATATTAAAGGTTATTTTCAATAGGAACTTAGATCTAATACATTGCGAGAGCCTGTTAGATCTATGTTGATTAATAAATTGCGAGAGCCTGTTAATCATGTTATTTATGCAATGTCAATGATTGATTATTATGTTTTACCCTGGAGTATTATTTATTGGTGAACCTATCCCCTAGATCCTTTTATATATTGTTTTCTCCTTATTCTCATTCTTCGTAGTTTAGTTTCATATTCAACTTATATATTGGTTACTTCATAATCTAGATTATATTAGTTAATTAGGAATAGAAAGATCCGTTTCTCTGTGGATTCAACCCTACTTCCCTATCTGCTTTAGTTAGAGGACTTAGGTATTTATTTTTTATTAGGGATACGACTTTACCCTGTCAGATATGTAGTAGGACAGTAGCTTAATACGGGAGTGATATATGCTAGAAGATAATATCAAGATATTTCCTTGATATTATCTCCTATACTAATAAGAGCCATTAGTAACTAATAATCACCTTTCATACCTTAATTGGGGTATCGGTGAATTGCAATTACTAAGTTGTATGATATGATATTGTAGAGTTGTCAAAATAGTACTCCGTATGTCTTTCATACAAGTCCGTTAATCCTAAGTCTCTTTCCTATGGCATTGAATGGCTAATATATAAGTCTTGATGTTTGGATTTTTCTATGTTTAAGGTCCCATTACTCGAATTAGTCTTCCTTTAAGTGAGCAAAAATTAAATGTCCAAGCACCTTTTACTACAAATCGTGGGTTAACAAAAGAAACTGAGTTATTCTTGCATATGCTATAGACAAGATACATGTGAATTATTAATACCAGAGTAATAATTCGTATTATTGTTGTCTCAATTTTGAGAATGTGGATTATTGCCAAATATTTTTAATAAAAGTGAATAAAATACTGTAGTATTTATGTTCCACATTATGTACATAGCAGTGCTAATGAATTGTACAAATTTGAAAATAAATTTTCAATGCAACACTCATCTTAATGCCAAAAACTCGAGCAAAAGTTATTAATCTAGATAGGATATAGACACGGAGCATCTACAGTTTGACAATTTCGGATATTTAAATTGTAATATTGGCAATCAAAATTTATCAAATCTTTATGAAATACTTCATACTTTATTTCTTGATCAAGTGTATAAATTTTTTTCCCTTAAATGAATGGTTGTAGGTACCAATATATGGAAAATCAAAGGCCAAATTCATCAAATTATCGGAGATTAAGGCGAGAAAGAATGACTCATGAACAACTTACACAAGAGGCTAATACAAGAAATGCTCAAATGCGCATGTCATATAATTCAAGGAGGGATTCTCGACAAAATGCTACGGCAAGTTCTCTAAGAGACATTACCAATCAAATTAACTCCAATGTTAGAGACAATCTTGCAGACCCTATCTCAAGACTTACGTGTGAGTTTATTACTTAGTTTGATATAGTCTCACTTTTAAGACTTTTAAAATGTTCACATTACTTAATGACAATGTTATACACAAGCTTATTGATTAATTACTTCTTTATTTATCTATCAGTGTACGACACCAACCGAATATTATTATTAAATTAAGATTACTATTTATTTATTATCATAAAAACATATCATCATGTACAAAAATTAATTGTTGCGTTATTTCATGCAATACAACTGATTTGCTAGCATTTTTAATAAAAGTAATAGTAATTTTAATTAACAAAAAGCAAAAAAAATTGCAAAGATTTAATTTGTTAAGCTATAATAAATATATTAATTAAAAAAACACACATAGCTCACATTCATCATCAATATCATTATTTCACACCCGTCTTTTAGAAAGGTTAAATGTGCCTATGTTTACTATAAGATCTAAGATAAGATTTTAAAAATGCTCACAACTTATTATAAATTGAATTTTCATACAGCAATGGGCAACTGTCAAAATAGTGTCCGAGAAATTGGCGAAAGTAGTGGAACTTCTAACACTAACCATCATAATGTCATGCATGTAAACACTGTTGATGAACGAATAATTAGGCAAAGAGTGAATCCTCGATCTGCAATAAATTTTCACGAGCAAAGAGGAGTCCCAAATGTCCAACTTTGTCCTCCAAGACTATGTTCACAATGTCAAGCTCGACTTTTTCATAAAAAATCATCACAGATTTGTTGTATGTCCGGAAAGATAATCTTGCCAACTATACCAGTTCCTGCAGAATTGTTATCATTATACACTGATCAAACACCTATTGGAGTGGATTTTAGGCATAATCTTAGAAAACTAAATCACATACATGCCTTCACTTCCATGGGTGTTCACATAGATGAGAGTTTAGCAAATGCCCAACAAGGAGTATATACCTTTCGAGCTCAAGGTTCCATATATCATAAGATAGGTGGTTTACTCCCTAATGGGTCAGATTGTCGGCCACGATTCCTTTAGTTGTACATATACGACACTGAACATGAGATTGAGAATCGATTAGCAGAGAATAGCACGCTGCGACGAGACATTATACAAAGAATCAAGGCTATTCTGGATCAATGCAGACCATTTGTCCATACTCTTCGATCTCTAGTACAGCGTGAAGACATACAACAATGTGCACTTCACATTCGCGAACAACCCTCAAATCGGCCACAATATTGTTTACCATCTGCTTCCCAAGTTGCTGCAGTGATTGTCGGTGGAGAAGAAGTTGCAAACTTGAATCCGAGAGATATTTTAGTCCAGTCAAATTCTGGTGAATTAATGACTATCATGGACACAACAAGATATTATGATCCCCTACAATATCCATTACTTTTTCCATATGGTTCTTATGGATGGTCGATTAATAGTGTTGACAATAATGGAAGAACAATTCTGTGCCGAGCTTTCTACGCTTATTACTTCCAAGTAATGTTACTACACTCACATATATGTGTTGATAAATTGATTTTCGTAATTATTTCTAATCCATGTAGATGATTTTTATTGCAGATACGTCCACATTCTATTTCAATCATCTTGCTTGCACAACGGCTGTTCCAACAATTTGTTGTTGACAATTTTGTCAAAATTGAGGCTAATAAGCTAAGATGGATCCGAGACCATCAACATACCATAAGAGCTGAACTATACCAAGGCTTACAAGATTGTTTGGCTGCTGAAGAACTAAATCCAGGTATTTTTTTAAAAATTTACATATATAATTTAAAACATTATGGTTACTACAAATTTCTTTATTAGTTTGCTAATATACTTACCCTAAATCACTAACAGTAAATGTTGGGAAAACAACCGTCTTACCTTCTTCATTTGTTGGAAGTCTAAGAGACTTGAATGAAAGATATCAAGATGCAATGGCCTTAGTTCTAAATTATGGAAAGCCGAACCTTTTCATCACTATGACATGCAACCCATCATGGAAAGAAATTGTGGAAGAGTTATTACCCGGTCAAACAGCACAAGACCGACCTGATTTAATCACTAGGATATTTCATGCAAAATTTGAAGAGTTCAAGAGTGATGTTGTTGATAAAGGCGTCCTTGGGAATGTTGTGGCGTATGTCTATGTCGTCGAGTTTCAAAAAAGAGGTTTGCCACATGTTCACATGTTACTCATTTTGGATGAAAACGACAAACTAAGATCACCTGAAGAATATGACAAAATCGTGAAAGCTGAAATACCAGATAGAGATGAGGAGCCACGATTGTATAGTATTGTTCTCAAACACATGATCCATAACCCATGCGGTGTTGGACACCGAAATTCATCTTGCATGGAAATGGAGTTTGTAAGCGAAAATTCCCAAAACCATTTTTTGCAAGCAATATTCAAGGTGATAACTCCTACCCTGTTTACCGTCGTCGCGGTGATCGTGCTGCTGTGCCTTTGCATGAGAATAGCTCAACCTATGTTGATAATAGTTGGGTTGTTCCCTATAATCCATGGTTACTACTAAAGTTTGATTGTCATATAAATGTTGAGATTTGTAGCAGCATCAAGAGTGTCAATTATCTGTACAAATATGTGCACAAGGGTGTTGATCGTGTTTCCATGGAAGTACGAGCAGGAGCAGATAACAATGAGATTTAACAATTTGTGGATGCTAGGTGGGTTTGTGCACTCGAGGCCTTATGGAGAATTTATCAGTTTCCAAGCACTCGAATGTATCCTTCTGTGGAACGATTACAACTCCATCTTCCAGATAGACACCAGGTATGATTTAATACAAATCAATCTATCGAAGATATCCTTCAAATGCCAGAAAACTCCCAAACCATGCTCACAGAATTCTTTAAGATGAATGCCATTGATCCTGAGGCAAGATCTTATCTCTATAAAGACTTTCCTCGGCATTACCGATGGATGACATCAACAAAAACATGGAGGAAGAGGAGGAATAACCTGAAAGTGATTGGAAGAATATACACAGCATCATCAATGGAAGGAGAGAGATTTTTCTTGCGACAGGTACTTAATCATATCAAAGGCCCTGAATCATTCCAGCATCTACGAACCGTCAATGGAGTTACCTATCCCACTTTTAGAGAAGCAGCTGAAAAATTAGGTCTTATGGAGAATGATGCGAGCATTCATGATTGTTTACAAGAAGCATCAAACTCTAAAATGCCATCTTCATTGAGAAGATTATTTTCCACGATATTGGTTTATTGCCAACCAAGTGGTGTTCGTGCTTTATGGGATGAATTCTTCCATTTTATGGTTGAAGATTATACTTTATCCAATCCTCCAAGTACATCATTTGTTTGTGACTCCGTTCTTTACGACATAGATCGCATGTTGAAGCAGTTGGGCAGCACTATTAGTGACTTCGACCTCCCTGACATAAGCATGCAACTAGATGAAAACGTACAATTAGCCAGGGCTATACATGAAGAAATCTCTGCTCCCATTCCACCAAAAGATGTGCATTGCGCTGAGCATCTTAATGATGACCAAGCCATTCATTTAATGTCATAATGGAAGCTATAGATGGAGATAAAAATCAAATTTTCTTCGTAGATGGTCCAGGTGGTACAGGTAAGACCTTCTTATATCGTGCCATTCTTGCAACTGTTAAGCTTAGAGGGAAATTTGGTCTTGCTGTAGCTAGCTCAGGTATTGCTGCCACGTTATTACATCGAGGTAAAACAACTCATAAAACTTTGGGGATTCCAGTAACATTGCATGCTTCATCAACGTGGAAATTTAGCAAACAAGATGTTGAACCACAATCGGTAAAGCATGCAGCTGTTATTATATGGGATGAAGCTACTATGACTCACCGACATGCATATAAGGCTGTAGGTCGCAGCTTGAGAGATCTAATGGAGGTTGACTTTCCGTTTGGTGGCAAGGTTGTAGTATTTGGTGGAGATTTTAGGCAAATTCTTCCAGTTGTGACTAAAGGAACAAAAGCTCAAACCATTGATGCATGTTTAGTTAAATCAACACTTTGGAGGCATGTTCAACAACTTCACCTCACTCAAAATATGAGATCCAGACATGATGCAGAATTTGCAGCATTTCTTTTAAGAGTTGGTGATGGAAGGGAGCCTGTAGTTAATGAAGACATGATTAAATTACCATCTTCATTATGCATCCCAAATGGCAACCAGAACTTGATTGATAACTTAATCCATCAGGTATTCCCAAACTTACCTGAACATGAAGGGGATGTGACATATATGGTAGAGAGGGCTATAATAACTCCGACAAATGATGAGGTTGATATGCTCAATGAGAAGATACTAAATGATTTTGTCGGAGGTGAAAAAATATATTATTCCTTTGACTCCGTGCCAGAAGACCGTCAAAATCTTTACCAACAAGAGTTCTTAAATTCATTGTCATTTGGTGGTTTGCCACCACATCTTTTGAGGTTGAAAGTTGGATCACCCATAATGCTTTTGCGAAATATTGATACAAGTAGCGGCCTATGCAACAGGACAAGGTTAATATGTTGTCAATTAATGAATCATGTTATAGAGGCTGAAATCATGACTGGACATTGCAAAGGTACACGGGTATTCATTCCACGCATTCCTTTAATAACAGCTGAAGATGCAAAGTTACCATTTGAAATGATTCGAAAACAATTTCCAGTGAAATTGTGCTTTGCCTTGACCCAAGGTCAAACCATTCCTCATGTTGGTATTTATCTTCCCACACACGTTTTTAGTCATGGCCAATTGTATGTTGCACTATCAAGAGGGACTTCCCAACAAACGACCAAGATCTTGGTTACTAATGACAACATTCAAGGAAAAGATTATGGTGTGTTCACTAAAAACGTTATTTATAAAGAAGTTCTCCTGCCTCATTTTACTTAGCAGTTTAGAAACACGGTACTATTTTTTTTCCAAGTATTATCTTTTGCAATTGTTATATACATCTTATAACTAGATTCTAATATATATTTTTTTAACATGGTGCAGGATAGACAAATTGTGACGAGCATATTGTATGAACCAAATTATTGCGCCCGGTGTTTCTAATGACTAATGTTTGTAAAGTTAATTTCATGTAGTAATTTCTGTTTTTCCAATCATGTATGTATTGCTACTACTAATTGTAATAATTTCAACCTTTTATTTTATAACTTTCACTACTATAATATTACATACATATTTCTTATATTGTGCACGCATGGCGTGCACTATCTTAGCTTGTATCAATAAAATAAATAAAAAAATTAACTATAGTTAAATATTTAACTACAATTATCACTAATGTTATGGTTAGCTTAATATAAAAAATTCAAGTTTACCGAGGATATTAAGAATTTTCGTAGTTTACCACTGATAAAACTAAAAACTTCAGTGTTACCAAAGAGAATTTCTCAATTTATATTAATTAGGGAAATTAATCTCTATTTTAAATTTTTTGTCCAGTAATTGTATAAGCTAATAACACACACCACAATTTAAATCAAATTTAAATAGAGTATATTAAACATCATTCTACTATAATATATCATTATTACCAAGTAAAATTATAAGAAATCATGAACTACTACTATTGAAATTTCATATTATTGAAGAATAAGGCAAATAAAATGTTAGAGTTTGATTTTATTTCAAAAAAATAAACAAAATCATTAACTTACAATTTGGGAAATTTTTCCAACAACTACCTTTTAAATGACCACTTTTGAGAACAACTACCATTTAAAATTTTCTTTTAAAAAAACTACCACAAAGTCACAAAAACTTTGAGTAGCACTACCACGTTTTATTTTCCGGAAAGAATTTTCGGTTGAGAAAACCTAGTTTATAAAATTTCAATCAATTGTGGTATAGAAAACAAGAGATTTCGATAGTAAAACACAATTATAGGTCAATTATCTTTAATTTTGCATTATAATTTATTTAATTTCTCAATTAAATCTTAAAATTTAGGGTTTATGGTCAAAAAATTGAATTAAGGGCTTTACGAAATTGGGGGATTTGGGGCAATTGAAGTGTATAATCCAATTAAGGGTTAATGTAGTGCAATATTATCATTTAATTTGGGTTTTTTAGGGAAATTTTTAAAATATGCCCAAAAAACGGAGATTATTGCCGGAAACAATAAATGTGGTAGTGGTACTCAAAATTTTTGTGTTTTTGTGGTTGTTTTTTCAAAAGAAAATTTTAAATGGTAGTTGTTCTCAAAAGTGGTCATTTAAATGCTAGTTATTCGCAAAATTTCCTACAATTTGGTTGATAGTCGTTCTTTTGTAGAAATTTTCTTCGATTTCTTGATTTTTTCTTTTACAAGTATAGATCTAAGAGCATTTTGATTTATTTTTCAAGAAATATTTAAAAGATTTTAGTAGTTTAGGAGAAAGAAAGTGGTAAAATTATGAGAAGAGAGAATTTTTAAATGTTAGTAAAGAAAACTAATTTATATGAGGAGAGAGAAAATATAGAAAACTAAAGGGAAGGGGTTGTAGGTATTACGGTAATTTTGTGGGGGGTGTCCAGCCCGAACCCGGTCCACCGAATGATCACCTCTCCTGAGGAATGGTAAATTACTGCTACACTACACAACTCATTCAACAATTAGAAGAAAACCAAATCCGACACTGATCAAAAGCCGCCGTGAATCAATGACCGGCGTCGGAAGACAACGGTGGAAGAACAAACAAGCGTCGAAACGCTCAATCTTAATTTTCTCTCTCCTCATTCTCTCTCTCATCTTCTTCATCTTTTACCAAGAGATCTCCACTTTCATTCTTCCACTCTCCTCCAAATCTCTCTCCTCTCAATTCCCACAATGCGTCGCAAAAAGCGTCGAGAAATTCTTATGGTACGCCCCTCACAGCGGATTCAGCAATCAGCTATCCGAGTTCAAAAACGCTGTTTTAATGGCGGCGATTCTTAATCGGACTTTGGTTGTTCCTCCTGTTTTGGATCATCATGCTGTTGCGCTTGGTAGTTGTCCTAAGTTTAGGGTTTTGGAACCGAAGGAGCTTCGACTTGAGGTTTGGGATCATGCTATTGATTTGATTAAGGAAGGAAGGTTAGTTACATTGATCTTTGTTACTGATTTTGATGTTAGATTTGAATGTGATTTGTTGTTGTAGTTTTCAAGTTTACAAATGAAATTCAATGAATGTGAGTTCATAGGTTTTATTTGGTTGCATTTTTAACTTGTTTATTGTAATTATCAATAAAATTAGGCATAATTGATGATTTATAGGGGTTTCTGTAGTGTTAATATGCATAAGTTGATATATTTGCCGCAAATTCATGAATCACTAGCCTTGACTTGTTGTATTAGAGGCTTATGGATGATTCCAGGTTGTCGGTCTCCAATTATAGGCTCTCGCGGAATTATGGCATTAGGAATGTCTTAATTGAAGCATGTTTGGAATATGGTAATGGATGATGGTGATGAGAATGAATCAAGTGTAACTTTGCGGGGAATGTATCGGTTAAATGTCCATGTTAATGGAATCTCATGCCAAAACTTGTGGTTTTTTCATATAAATATTCATGACTATCCAGTGACACCTTCAATTGCTAATTGATGGTAATGAACATTATGAAGAAAAAGAAATAATTTAGGATGAACAAATTGGCAAAGGACTTCCTTTGCAATTCTAAATATAGATTAATTATCTTTAGTTATTACTTATTAATTCATATCCTTAATTGAATTTTGATGAGAGACAATTGCATGTGTTTTTTTTTATTTATAGCCATCTTTGAGCAGTTGATATGAGAGACATGAGTTGGTGTACCTAGGGTTTGGCCAAAAAAGAAGCAATGCTGGATACCATGACCGGTCACCATCGATAAAAAAGAATCTTTCTAAATCACTTCGAGTCAGTGGGAGATTTGGGGAAAACCGAACCAAATGAGCCTGACCAACTTCTTAGCTTGGAAGATGGAATTATATGCCCGAAACCAAACTACCCAAATTTGACCAACATTGCACACTTTATTTGGGATAATAAGTGCTTAGGCCTACATAAAATTATCTTAGAAATGGCTTCCTTCCTGCCTCCCATATAAACGGACAGCTGCCATCACTATTTATTTTATGGCTGAAACCAAATTACTTAAATTTGACCAGCATTGCACACTTTGGGATAATAAGCGTTTAGGCCTACCTAAAATTATCTTCCTGCCTCCCATATAAATGTACAGCTGCATCTCTATTTCCTTAAGAACAAATATGCTCACTTCTTTCTCTGATACCTACCAAATGAAACCTATGCAGGGGAAACTTAAAGGATATTTTGCACAAAATTACTGAACCCATTTGAGTTAGGGTTACATTCTTCCAAAGTTTACTTTTTTTTTTGGCCATATAGATTTAATCCAAATTAATCTAGTTGGATTAGATTAAGATCTGATCTATAACAGTCAAATAAGCTATTTAGCTGATATTATTTTTTCAGTTTTTGTATTAATGGATTGGTTCAAAGTAGGCTTAAACATTGGAATCCTATTTTCGTATCCCATATACAAACCATAAAATAGTTTTTTTTGGAATTTTTTTTCTGCAAATGGCTCCCTGATCTACCCTTTTCAAACAATATATTGGAAAAGCCTAAAAGTTATTAACACTTTCCTTAAGTTTGTCTCTATTACCATCAAATTTTCTTGCATAAAGTTCTGATTCTTTTCTGAAGTAGTTATTATGGAAAATGGCCAAAAAAAGTGGCTTTATTTTTATCAGAGTATTTAGGTCTAAAATTAAGTACAGAGTATAGGATTGCATTACTCAGTATCTAAATGGGATAAATCTGGATCCAGAATATCTATCATTGGCTTTGGATTGATAATAACCCTGTCTTGGTTTTACCTGCACATCTACCCCAGGAAAGTTCTTGTTCTGATTAATTAGAACATGACATTATGATAAACAAGGAATGGAAGCTTGAAGCTAGATTACCTGATTGTTTTTCCCTATAGAGTTATTAATTGAGTGCGGGAAAATTTATTGAGAGGGAGGATCAGAAATCCTATAAACGATAAAAGGATATTTTATGCTATGACATAAATTTCACGCACTTTGTTTATCTGATTAGGACATTTAAGGGAAAAGCTATGGAAGTAACGGAGCCACAAGTTTTCTCTTTCCGTTTGCCTTTTCTGAGTAAACACCTAGACAAGCCCACTCTAATCCTATATAAAACATAACAATATGAGATGGCAATTAGTTCATACACTTCATAGTGTATAAAACAAATGACTGCCAGTATCTTCAATAGTGAAATGCATGACATGATCATCAGGAATACTTTATCTTTCTGTGTATATTTGTTAGGTAAGAGCAATAGGAGAGTACAAAACAGTCTTCTTTTTCAACAGGATTATAGGGTCACTCTTTTTGTAACTGATAAGTGATAACCTTTTCTGGCTTCAAGAATAAGTGAATATGTACAACTTTCGTAGTATTGTACTGAAGAGTTGGTCATAGATGCCTTCTTTGTGCCCATGCTCTCCATGATGCATATTATGCTCAAAGGAGTTGCTTCACTTTGTCAGATCTGCCTAGCTGCCAATCAAACATTTGGAGTTGCTTCACTTTGTCAGACCTGTCTATGTTGTGCTGTATGATAGGTAATCACTATTATTGTTTTTCTTCTCTAGTTTATGCTCACGTTCGAGATATAGAAATCTGAATTTTCCAGGTTGCTCTGCTGAAAGTACAAAGTGTTAAAATGCTAGTGGAACTCTCATGTCTTATCATCTAATCTGCTTGATGGATTTTCTGTGTACTGATAGATCTAGTTCCTGTTCTACATTAACGAAGACTATGAATATTAATTTTACATGCTTTTGATAAGAACATCTGTTTCTATTTTTGGTTGGTTTGGTATTCTGTTATAGGG